GACGGAAAGGTTGGGATTTACAGTGAAGTGGTGAAAGGAGGGGATTTAGTAAACATCCCTTGTTGAGCGTCAAAAGAGAGGAGATTTTTTTAGTAACAACTCGCATCGAGGGATCTGACACGAGCCATTATGACGTATGAGATTTCTAAAAGCCGTGATTTCTAACTGATTTCATGCAATTGATTTCTGATTTCCAAATTTCCACGTGATTTTCAACTAACATTTTCAGATTTCCATGATTTCAAGAGATTTCCAGATTTCCGCGTGATTTCCACTGATTTCCAGAATTCATTTCTGTTGATTTCTCGGTCTCTCTTATAAATGTACACTCCCTCAAGAGGAGTTCCCTTACGGGCATTAATCCTAACGTATTAAACTCAATTTAACACTGGCCACCCTGCCCGGATTGCCTATGTATAAATCGGCCAAGAAAGAGTACAGAACTCACATCTCATAAGAAACTCTCTGATTAAACTTTTTATAACTCTCTCAACCTAGAACTCGACTCTCGCATATTCTTCCAAGGCATTCGGAACCACACCTCTATTTTTTCCCACCAACCCGATACTAACCGCATCACAGTAGATGGTACAGTGTATGAGGACCCTCTTAATCTTGAAGGATGGGCTCTCTACTTCCTGTCCCTGAGCAAATCTAGCACACCTCCCTCTATTGATTCAGCCTGTCGAGCAGATATCTTCAACCTTTTCCGGAACCTCCCTGACCCTGAGCCTGACCTGATCGACTCCGTCGATGTCAGAAATGTAGTATCATCCTTCCCCCTAAAGGGAAAGTTAGTGGCCCTGATAACCTCTGCAATGAACATCTACATACTATTCGCCCATCCACAATATTATTTGATATTCTCGCTACCATCTTCAATGCCATGCTCTTGTCAGGTCATGTACCATCCTCCTTCGAACACAGCCTTATTGTTCCCATCCCTAAGAAGAGGGGGTCTGACTTATCAAACCCCTCCAATTTCGCGGCATCACACTTCTCTCCACCATCAGTAAAGTATTTCAGAAACTTATCCTAAACCGACTGCCATCTCTTGCAGCTCAAATCCATCCCCTCCATGGTGGTTTCAGCCCCAAGATGAGCTGTATGCATACAGCTTTTGTATTACAAGAGGCAATTCGACATCAGAGACAGAAGGCATTTCTGGCATTCCTTGATGTAAAGAAGGCATTCGACACTGTCTGGCATAATGGCCTTCTTCTGAAACTTGGTCTAGTTTAGCTTACCTCTCAACAAGCATGTTTGTATCAACACCACTATGGTCAAAGTGTCGGTAGCAAAGGACCCACTTCTCTGCATTATTGGGTTTTTACGTGTATTCTTGTTTATAATAGGCATTACCTGCACGACTAATTAACCCTCGGCGTGCATGCGCAGCGAAGGTTACAGTAGTCGTTCTGTCTGTCTGTCTGTCCGTCTGTCTGTCCGTCTTTCCGCGCGAGTTCTAGCACTACAGGCTACGAGGCGGCAAATGAGTGGCAACAACGGGTTGTGAACGACGAGAAGATTGATATTAATGTGGCGATTTTCCCGAAACGACCGCGTTCCAGAGATATGGCGTGAAAGCAAGCGAAAAAGCCAACGCGCGGTTGATCGCGCACGCGCCCTCTCCTGCAGGCTAGCTATAATAGCGCGCACGCGTCATGTCAATTAATCGGCAGAGCATGCGCTACGCCACGTTGGTTGTATATACGATCCACCGCCTCCTGTCAGTTTTGATCTCTGTTCCCTATGGATAAACGATAAACATGCTGAGCAAGGTATGTTCGCAATGTAGCATAATACTTCAGGTGGCGAGCAGTTTGTTGTTGAGGCCTTGCCTTCCCATCTATAAAACGTCTGGCGAGAGCATTGAAACAGCCTCTGAAACACCTGAGCTATTGCTCTAACCGCTAATGCAACTACCCTGTGTTACGGTGAGACTCGTGTTACTGGCTCCGTCGATGACGCACGGCTCAGCATACAGCGATGCTACAACTCGCTAGTTTACCGCCGATCGGGGGTTTGCACTTTAGTGCTTTTCATTATATGCAGTTTGAAAATATTATTCTCTGAATTAAATTCGTCTTCTTTCCATGTGCACAGAATGTGCTGCAATCGTTGGTGGAAACTCTCTGGGTATGGACTTATACTCATCTGGTATATACAACCACAGAAACTAACTCGAACCCATACGGATTGGTCTTGTGAGTAGAATCAACAAAAACGATTTTAGGACTGTGCTTTTGAAAAATAGATGCTTGAAACTGTGTCATTACGACAAGGAGAAAGCTATCTTCACTGAGGCCTGGGTACTTTTCATCAACTTTTCCTTGAGGCTTGTACGCTATGGTAGGACTATCCTCTTCATTTTGTAACTCCTTACAGAGACAATCCACAGACACAGCATCATTGTTGTGACGGTGCTTGACAAGTGTTCGCAGAATATTACATGCATCTTGCCTAGTGATGAAGGTGGCCCCATGTTGCTATGGAGAGAAAGTTATCACGATTTTCTCGATTCATCAAGGGACCTCTAATTCCTTTAGAAGTAGGAAATGTTGGTTTGTATAAGTTTGCTATCCAAAATGGAGCCCTGCTTAACATCTTGCCCACACTTCTCCCCAACATTTTCTCTCGCAGAATTGGGAAGAGGTATGTGTTTAACTTATTCCAGGTGTATGATTTGTATGAGTACGAACTAATGCACAGGGCAAACACGTTTCCTCTTCTCTCCTTTTGTGTGGTAATTCTAGGGAGGCAATACTCTTTTCGTGATCCATGCCGCTTCCGGGTTTGGAAGCTCTTCTTTTAGCAACGATTTTCCTTTGCCTTTCCGCCCCGACAACAGGTGCAAAGGATTGTAGTTCCCTTTCTGCAATTATTTACCCTTTAAAAGAATGTAATAAAGTAGCATAATTACCTTCATCTTTACTTTCCTTAGTTCCATTGGTTTTGTAATGTTTCTGTCTCCTCTCTCTCTTTCCATTGCAGGAAGGCACTCCAGTCTGGTTATCTAATGAAAAGCACTAGTGCAAACCCTCGGCGCAAAAGGCTCTCGTTTGTAGTTTTGTAATGTCGCCTCGAGCCTGTAAGGATGCGGCCGGAATATTTTGCCGTCAGTACATGCAGCCCCGCACCTGCTGCCTTGCATTTGCTTACAATAGCGTCCAAGCGAAAGTCCGTTTCCAATTTTCAGAAATACTCACCACTTTTATGTCATTTTGCAAACTACTATTATGCTATAGACAACATTTGAGCGACTGGATGAAACTTGACAGGCATTATTACACTCGGCGAGCATGTGCAGCGAGGGTATGGTAGTATGGTAGTCTGTGTGTCTAGTCTGTCTGTTACTCTACATCTCACTTCTCGAGTGTTTGTTCGTCTCACAAAGGATATGACCTACTTAACGGGAAATGAAGGTCAGAACAACCTTGCGGTTTGTTGGTCTTTCACCAGTACAAAAGAATCAGCTGGAAGCACCCTGTCTTTTTTCAAGATTGTCAGGTATAAAAGTCAATTCGGGATTCGATATTGTTCTGAAGGGGTGCACAAAGATTTGCTCATCTGACAAACATTATTCTGTTTCACAAAATTACTACAGCCCAGCCCACACGTTACGTAACATCACACGAGCGCACGCTATACTTTTACACCACCAGGACGAAGAGAAGAGAGAAACTCTTGAAGTATCCTGATGTAAGGTTCTGGTCCATAATGAAGCGGGTGATTCTAGCTCTTTAATTAATCGATCGTGTTGCTCTGTTATGCACTACCAACAGAAGGCAGAGTACTTTAGAGAACTTCCTTAGAGCCTGAAAACTAAACTTGTGTCTTCAACGTGTGGTTTTTATTCAAAATAAATAAAGAAAACCTCCGAATTCTGAAAAAAAATTGCTGTTCCAATATTTTCATTATTCCGAGGTCCCACTGTATATACAATAGCAGAAATTTTGGGGACATGACGAGATGACGTCACGTAAAATAATTCGTGCGTGACCAACGTCAAACGGAGACCTTTCTTTTCTGCAGGTTTTCTCGAGACAGAGTGGTCCTGGAAGATATGCCAATTTCGAGAGCTAATCTATAGTCACTACTCTCCAGAATGAGCTACATTTCCGCCCATCTCGGTCGGCTAACAACCGGACACGCCTACTTTTATTCGTCCCCATGTTACGTGTACATTTGGATATAAATTTTGGAAACCTTGCTTCATAAAAATGCTTTTTCCTTGGTCGTGCGTGAAAATTTTCTCGGTGCTGGTGCTCAATCGGATAATTGTAGAAGAGGCCTCAAAGATTTTTTGGGCAGGGGTTAGTACATAGGCCCAATACAAAGTTTAGCGGCCAAAAGTGGTCAAAAAGAGCCTATAAATTGAGCAAAATGGTAAATATTCGGAGCGCGCAGTGCAGACGTCCATGACCGAGTAAAGTTGTAGGACTCGATCAACTATAGGACGTTTCTTGGGACGCTCTATATGCCAATAAACTTTGAATAGCCAGCTACAACAGACATCCCAACCCAGCCGCGAGTATGCCAATAAACTTTGAATAGCCAGCTACAACAGACATCCCAACCCAGCCGCGACGAGCTACCGGGCGGTGGCCGTCAAAATCCGAGTTTCCACAGTCGTATAAAGCTAGCACGGCTAGCTATCCCTCCACTGCCAGTACTTGCCCTGCCTGGACTAATAACTTCGGGCGTTACGCCTCGTAGAGCCGAAGTTCTCGGTTACGCAAAGGTCGGCGGTGGCGGTAAATATTTGCGGCTGTTCGAGAGTAACAATGGCCCAACGCGTGGGAGTTGCGGGTGCTGAGCTGGCTGGCACTACAGCGCTAAGTGCATATTTGTGTTCCCCCCTCCGTACTCTAGTCCTTCCAACTGCACTGTTGCTCCGCTTGTATGAGGATGGTAAGGGATACAGAGCAGGAGTGAACACTTCCATCTCAGAACAGCTCCTGACATCGGACCCAACTTGCACCAGGATTGAGACAGCTATTCGCAAAGCAGCGAGCAGACTCCATCGCAGGAAGAGGAGGTGCAAAGGGTCACGTGAGAGGGACAGGTTGAGAGACGGGGAGACATATGTACTGGTTGGGGAAGGAGAAACGATACAAGTGAGGGGATTACAGGAAGAGCTACAGAGGAAGGAGGTACACATGAAAAGTTTGATAATGATGCGTAAAATTCAGCAGAAATATATCAGGAGGAACTGAGGAGAGTGGAGGATCAGGAGAGAGAGACTAGGCAGCAGCTGGAGGAGCAGAAGAGGGAGACAGAGCAGGAGAGAAGAGAGAGAGAATCTGTGACTGAGGAACTTGATGCTGCACAAAACAAGAGAAGGAAACTGGAGGACGTGAGGAGGAGAAAAAATCTGTGGACTTAAGCAGAGCCTCATGTACATTCTTTAGGTAGGGGAAAGACAGAAAAGGAGGAAGATATCCCAGTTGAAGAGCTACACTAAGCTTGCTCTGAAACCTCTGGAGAGTTACGGCCTTACGCTGCACAGTGTCACTGCAGTCACAGACAAAGGATGCTCTTTGTCTCCTGATCTGTCTCCAGGAACTTCCTCAGCACCAACACCATCACCTTCTGTCACTGCACAGGGGAACACAAGAACAGCTCTCTTCCTCCTTGACAGATTTGCAGTGTCTGATGAGTTTTACCATGAACTTGCTCAGGTAAACACAAAGAGTATATACATATGTAGTCCTGACTTAGTACATCACTTACGTGTACACAAACTCAACATAGACTTTCCCAGAGATGCCCCGCCTACACCACATCAAAAGGCTCCGCAGCTCTCTCAACGGTGAGATCGAGATCCTGGGTCTCCCTCCTCCATATGTAGGACGCTACATGAGACTCAGAAAGCTTTGAAAGCCTGTGGAGATTACTCTCTCTCTGACATTGAGAAAACTGACATTCATACACTGGTGTCTGTGACGGTCAAAGTGATGATGTGCGAAAAACCCAGTACTCTTGGGTCCAAGACCAAGCAAAATGTTGTTGTGAGTGATCATGTTTTGTCAAAGGCACAGCATGTGGAAATCTAGACCGATGTGAGCTGGTTTGAATTGGCATACAACACAGCTACTACACTAGAATCCGATAACCAACCACCCACCCACCCCACCACCGCCCACCACCCGATCCCCCCCCTACCACCCGACCACCCAACCACAAACCAACCAACCCCCACCGACCAGCCGACCCCACCACCGCCCCACATCCCCCCCATAACCCCCAAAAACCCCACCCCCCCCACCGGACCCACCGCCCCCGACGCCCCCCCCCCCCTCTACCCCCCGGCGCCGGCTCTCCACTACCAAACAGCCCACGAGAACCCCGCACCCTACCCCAGACAAACCACACCACAACCTCAACCCCGTACCAACCACCCACCCCACGCCCTACCTTTACCACCACCCCCCCAACCCACCGTACGTCCACCCATACCGCACCCACTCCCCGCCCTACCCTACACCACCCACCCCGCCGGCCCAGCGAGACCAACCCCCACCTCGCCCCCGCAACCCAACCACAGTTTCAGCACCCCCCGATGACCCACGCACCGATAACCCCCCGTACGCCCCCCGTCCCCTCCCCAAACCCATCCCCGGTACTCAATACCCGCCACGGCCCCCTCCACCCGCCTGCCGCCCGGCGCCCGACCCCCGTCTCCACCCGCCCGCCCGGGGGGACTGGATACATAAGTGGGTATAATTGGCACATAAAGGGGTGAAGCAACACAAAAGTGCAAAAGCGAGTGAGAGTGAAGAAAAGGCAATAATGCAATAGTATACAATACAAGGCAAGGCAACAGTGATATGGGGTCACTTATAACAAAAGAAGTGTAAATGCAGGCAGTAATGAAAATTATACAATGCAGAAGCAGCGTGATAATATATGAGACTTGACATAAGACATTGATTGATGTGGTGATATAAGTTCATGATAGATTGTGTGAACATACAATGTGACCTTTGGCAGTCTTAGCATTGTGCGGTGTTGGCAGTTTGTGCGGTGTCTTGCGTTTCTGGCAGTTGTGACATATAGTCCTACAGCTAGTTACTGGAATGTTGTGGTATTCACAGTAAACCTTGTTGAGGATTAATCATCTAAGTCATTGCACTTTTGTTCCTACTGTTTGTCAGCTCTGGTGTCTACTTACATGTTGGCCGATCTTCATGCAGGCCATACCCGTAGCATACTACCAAGCATTGGTATGGAGGGGTCCAGGCATAGTAGTTACCAACAATAGAGTAGCCCGCCCCTCCATACCAATACTGCTGCACTTGGTTGAAGTACAAGTTTTGCCGTCATGTATGGCCTGCTTTAGAATGAAAACTAATCTGCATAGACTGTGCCTGATCTGAATAGTATGTGCCTTTGATGTAAACAACAGTAATAGTGTCATGTGAATTGTGATTTTATTTATGTACATATGGTCTATAACGTCCCTTGGGTGTTTGTTGTACTTGCACTAACTTCTGTAGTGAAAATGACATAACCTAACACTGCTGAGTTGTCTGTTGTAAAATATCATCATTAAATTCTCCACTACTACACAAGGCGTGTTACACGAGTGAGAGATGTGTCACGATCTTGACAGTAGAGGGATCAACACTGCCTGTGTGACCACTAGGATGATCGTGATGCTACTGCTATTTTGCATACTGTGCTGTTAGGGAACCTGGAATGTGAGCTGCATCGACTGCCGCATACCATTGGTTGCAAACCTATGTTCATATGGTGGTCTACATATTGCCTAGGGACACATATCCAACACTCCCCTTTGTTGGCACATGTTAGTCTATCACATCTGATGTCAAACTGGTCATCTAGTAACAGCAGGGTGAGGCTGAGATGCATTTAGGCCAAGTCCTCACAGAAGCATAGTACCCTAGCAGATCTGAGAGCTGATGTCTCAGCTCTCAGTGTCAGGCAACTTTTGCAAGGACCTGCCTCACATTCAACAATGCTATTGCACATCCGAAGATGACATCACACACCTCGATGCACTGGTTGCGAGGAGGTGGTACTTAGCCTAACCCTCTCTTTTCTCACATCGGTCGCTTGTCTTGATGCTTTGGCATTGAATTGAGCATATGCATCCATCCAGTCGTTCTACACGACTAAATGCAACATAGGCTTGTCCAGGACTGAATCTGCCTCCTTTCATATCCACAACTATTTGATCAAGAGTCAGACCTTGTACCTTGTGTATTGTGGTAGCTCATGCTAATACTACTTCATGTTTTGTCAAAGTCACAGCATGTGGAAATCGAGCACGATGTGAGCTGGGTTGAATTGATTTAAGGCCAACTCTGCTATTATCAAATTTCACAAGCACACTAATAACATCATTGCTATTGTTGGTGACTACATGGATCACTTCAAGACCATCTGATACATCAACATTGCCTGTTAGCATAACACAAGCACCAACAGCTAGTTTGAGTGTACCATGAAGACCACCTGTGTCAGATCTTCTGTCAGACAGACTGCAAGGGATGGTTTGACCAGCTACAGAATCAATGACTTTAATCACAAACTGTGCACTCTGTGGAGCCAGGTTGTTTAACATAAGGGTGTTTCGTGTGTCAACATCGGCATGCAATCTGTACACATGTAAAGCTTGGGTGGGATAATTTGCTGCATCTGCTGGTATATCACGAGATTTTAGAGTTCTAATATCATCAGATGTGCAACAGTTGGTTCTAACTTGGCACAATAGCTCTGAAAATGCACTGTCACCTCATTGTCTCATTACCTCAGTTACCTCAGTTAGTTCAAGCATTAGCTAAATGGTCAACCCACAATGAGCCTGAACCATACAACTAAGCATAACAGTCACTCACTGTGCTAAACAGCAGAGCTTGGCCGACTGGTGGTAGCTAACTGATTCAAGTCTCCCACAGCTAATATACTCACACCACCAAATACCTTATCATCTGACACACCTTTTATCTGCTGTAGCCTTTTGTGGATTTCTAGCAACATATGGAAACCAACCATGCTTACTTCGTCCATGACCACAAACATCAAACGTGACAGTTTGGTTCGTAGTGTGTTCAATCTGTCATGGCTAAGAGGTTGAAAACCACTGTATTTGCTACGTCCCAGTAGGAATGCTGAATGCAATGTCGTGCCATTGATATTAGATGTGGCAACACCAGTAGGGGCAGTTAGTAACGCAATCACATCATCTGGTTCAAAGGCACCTGACACTTTTAGCAATTTCAGTGTATCAGAATGGACTAGCTTTATCACATGTGACTTGCCAACACCACCTGGGCCACTTAGGAACATGATAAGACTCAACTGGTTTGCCCTCTTTCAGTGCCAGTTCAGCCTTCTTACACCAGTCACGATGGAACATAACATGGATCTCTGCTGCTCATTTAGCCCTCTCATATAGCTACTCTCTGTACTGGTCAGGGGGGATATCTAGTTGGTTGGCAGCACCCTCAAATCCTACATGCAAGTTAGGGCCTGATGTTAGGATACTCTCGTTATCCTCGCAAATCTTGTTGGGAAACTCAGTTAGTTGTTCCTCCCTTCAGCATTGACTGATTCTACTTTCTTCAAGTGGATGGTGTGGCAATGCTTGTTTCCACAACATTGCTCAGGTGGCCATCTTCTTCACCTCTATGTCATCTATATCAGCTTTTGTGTAGGCTCTCATTGTGTCCCTGGACAATGGTACGACATGCCTATACGCTCCCAAGGTTGCTGTATCGTCCTACGTAGATCAAGCTTGTCATCAAACCAAAGATAGTACAGCATGAGTTTCGCTCTAATACCATTGCTAGGGTCAGCATCTTTTTGTTTGTACTTTCCGAACTATCACAGCTTGTGCTTCGTTGTTCATTTTGCAACATTAAATCAGTGGTGTGATTTGTGTGGATGTGACAGATCACTCTCAGGGGCTGGTAAGGATCACATCACTACGCTCTACGTCACACATATTGGCAGCAAACTCAGCTAGCACATGAACTAAGTCTTGCTGTGGTCTGTGTCCTGAGGCTATTCTGAAACACATTCGTATCATTTGTCCTCTAGTTGGCT